GTGTCCCTTGACCACAAGAGAAGGTTGAGGAACCTAGAAACCCTCCACAACCACTGGGAAACCCTCTAGAGCTGCCCAGAGCAATCCCCTCCTCAAGGTCTGCTCTAACAGCAGCTGTAATAATTTATGTGTGATAGAAGGATAATCCCTGTTCCATTCCTGGAAATGTTTGTGGGCAGGCTCTGCATTGCTTCTGAGCAACTGGTCTAGTGGAGATGTTCCTACCCCTGGCAGTGGTGTTGGAACTACATGGTCTTTAATGTCACTCCCAATCCAAACCATTCCACGATTCTACGATTTATGGGCTGAAAAGAGGCACTGGATACCTAGCATCTGCATGGCTGGCAGCCATCAGGATGTGGAGCAGCAGCAGACCACTGGATTTGTCTAAGTCTGGAGAGCAAAGATGTGTGGGGATTTCTCGGGACAAGCCAAAGAAAAGTGGCTATAGAAATCAGGATGTATGACAGGAGGGTGAAGCACTATTTTAGTATGGCAGAGCAAATGTGGCTTTCAGACCCAGCAGGATTCTATGCCAGCTGGCTTTGTGAGTGCAAAAGCAAGAAAAGCCCAGCCTACTGAGAAGAGTAGCATTCATACCAATTAAATTCTGACACTCACTAACCCTGAATTAGCTTATATAAATATTAATACTACTTCAGCATGAAAATATCCAGTCTTTCCAAATCTAGGTGCTTATGTGACAGTTCAGAGGCAACTTCCAGAGGCAGAGTATTGCTGCTTGGCAAAGATGTGTTGACCTACATGCACTATTTCTAAACCTACTAGTGCATCCTGCCTTAACCACTGCAGCAAATAGAATTTCAGGGGTGCCAGGGGTCTGCCTCTGTTTAAATGGTGTCAGCAAAAGTCTAAGCAAGGTGTAAGCAGATTTTCCAGACACACAAGCATAATTTTAGAGTAAATTAATTAATAACATTGTGCACAAGAGTGAAATTTTGTCTGCTGGTGTGTTAAAGAATATCTTAAGTAATCTACATACGACTGCAGAGAAGCTTACTTGGTTTGTTCTAAAGATGTTAACACTAAACAAAATAATGTAATGGTTCAAATTTTTTTTTTTTTTTCCAGAGCACAGAAACGTAATAAATCAATGCAGTAAATTACCCCTGTGCTGTGAAATTAACACCCATATACATGAAATAAAAATAAGAATTTACAGCTCTGATCAATCAAATTTTTTTATTAACTCCATCTTCTGTTTTATTTATGTGCCTCTCACCCCAGAGTAACCGACTCGGCTCGGGCTGAGCGTGGCACTCCTGGGAGCTGGTCAGCCCAGCTGCTCCGGCAGCAGCCCTGCCGTTCTCCCCATCTCACACCACCCACAAAGGAGCACAGCCCTGTGACCCTGTGCTCTGCCAAAGCAACCCTAAGCCCTCCCAAGCACAGAAGTCAAGCTATGAGGAAAAGGGCTGGCTCTGTCAGCAGCCACACCAGGGTTTCAGGCTGACTCGCAGCTGCTGAAGATGCTGAACTCCAGGAATGACTCCCTTGCTGCTGTGTGTATACACAGCTGGGAAACAAATGCCCAGGGGAATGCCTTTCCCTGTAGTCATGTAACCCCTAGAGTCACCTCAATTTTTTGAAAAGCATGTTTCCTACTCCCCTCACAAAACTGTGCTTTGCAATATTTTCCTCTTGCCCACTATAAAGGAAAATCCCAGCTAGCTCCCTTGGACCCGCTACACTTAGGCTGCAGTGTCCACCAGCTAGCAGAACAAGGCTGCCTTGTTCTCCAGTGTGAATGATTTATGGTTTCACATGTGCTCATGTGCTTCATTATTCACTTAGTACTTGTACCTACGAATATCAGCTCATGAGATAAAAGTGCATACCAAGGCGCAAACTGATGCTTGGCTGTATTTTAGTAAAAATATTAAGGTGAGAAAAAAAAAAGGCCTTCATGGGAGGTTGCCCACACTGCCTTTCCAATCCTGACACACGTAGGTGGGCAGCTCATGTTGCTGTCCTCTTCCCTGGAGCACCCATATAAACCCCAAGCCTGAAGAGGAGAGCTCTTGCCACCACATACTTGCGCCCCCGCAGCGGAGTCAGCCCCCAGTGAGAGCATGAACTCTCCAGGGTAACTTCAGTGCCCAAATCTTGCTATCAGCAGTTTTTTAGCAGCTCTTCATTCCTGCAGCAGCAACTCTTCGTCTCTCTAAAACCCACAGAGCAAACTGCAGGTAATAATCCTAAAAAGTATAAAGCCTGCCTTCAAACAGATCCAAATGCACGTGATTAATTTGCCTAAAATAGCCACTGCGAGCTGTGCCAGCCTATAAAAATGTAGGAAGTGACAACTTGTCTATTAAGAGGTTTCTTCTGTCTACAGATATGGCATACAAGGAGTGCTGTTGCTTCTGCTATCCAGATAATCAATCAAAAGTGTAAGAACTGGCTGCAATTATGATCCTGAATTAGAACCAGGAACAAAGCCTGGACTCCCCGTGTCCTCGCTTGATCAGACACCAGTAGGTCCATGTGCCTCCAGAAACCCATCTGACCTGCATGAGCTACAAGGCAGCTGAAAGTGAGCTTCAGGGGAAGGCAAACACGGTCACTGCTGACCTCCAAAGACAGCTGAGAACATCCCTATCCTCCAGCAAACTCCCCATCGCCTCTGCTGCTTCCCACCCAAAGATGTAAGAAATACAGGATGCTGCCTTCCTGTTCACTCTCAACAGTGGATTACTCACAGGAATGAGATGTCAGTTTGCTGGCAGTGTCTAAACTTCCAAAGTGGCACAGGAAATAAAAGACCCCCTTTCTCAAATGGCTGTTCTTCCCCGACAGCAGGAGCATGCTCATTCAGCCCACGTATGCAGCAATCGCAGCATATTTGGGTTCACATTAAACCTTTTCATCTTGATTATACAGCATGCTGTCGCATTTAGGGCTGCTGTGCAACGCTCTACGTGAGCTACTGCTGTGCTGAATCCCAGCAAGGGTACGGGGCTGACAGGCTACGAACCTCTTCTGTGTGTGCAGAAGTCTCCTGTACAAAACAACTGGAGTGTAAATTACTGTCTTAGAGAAAACTAGTGCACTGCAGGGAGACAGCTGAAAGGAGCCTTGTCAGAGACCCCCAGGGGCACTCTCTTGGAAAATCCATTATGCTTTTATTTCTCGGACATCAGCATCCCATCAGGAGAAAGCCTCCTGATGTCAAGGCCTGGCGCTCCCCTTGGGGAAAAGGGATCTCTGCACACACACTCTCTGTCAGCCTCATCGTTTTCAAAACAAACTCAAAGAGGCCACTTTGCCCAGTTCTCACTGCTCTGGGTTTGGCACTGAATTGGATAGAAGGGGATGATTTATCCTCTCTATGACAAATCACAGCCAGTCACTAGCAAGGATGCTCACTGAGTGTAAGGGGGGCCCTTTGGGAGTTGCCCAAGCAGCAAAGTTACTCATCCTGAAGCCTTTAAGTTCTCAGACAGCAATTTCCACAGTGCAAATGAAGACAAACCACTGTTAGTGTTAAGAGTGAGAATAAGATCTCACTGTTAGGGCAGAGTATCCTGCTTGCTCTCCGGAGGGACAAAGAGCCAGCCCACAGGGTGTGCCACCAGGCTAGGGTGCCGTAGCGCTGCCAGGTGCCCAGCTCTTGTCCTTGTCATGGGCTCACCCTGACAGATAAGCAGGGCTGTGCTGAGCAGATTGCTCTGCGGGTGGAGCCGATGGAAGGGAAGCACAAGCATTAAACACTGTGAGTCCTAATTCTGCTACTTTGCCCAGATGGGATTTATGGGGTGGGGAGGGGGAGAAGGGATGCAGATGGAAGAGCATCTTCGACCATTCCAAGTGTTAAAAATAAGTGAGATATGTGCCTTAGGGCTCAGCAGATTGAACACAGTGATTATACATTCTCCATGATTCTTCACCTGGGCTTATGCCTGAGAAGATCCTGACCCCTTCTTATGCCACACATTGCAATAGGATTGCCCAACCAAATGTTGAAAACCTATTTAGTGAACATCATTTCCATATATTAAATTAAAAATGTTCCTTCCCACATCTATTCCTTCTAGTTTTTAGCTGTTTAAAAATTTGACGAAGATATAAATAAACTTAAAAAAAAAATAAATCAAAACCCCAGAACTAAACTAGGAGAATGTAAACAAGCAGGAGCATTGTGTGAATTCTCTGAACTACCTCCCTAAAGATAGGCACACTGCTCTGAAAAATCCCCTCAACTCTCCAGCTCCAGAGCATGGTGGAGGGTCCCCACAAGCCCAATGAGTGAGCAAAGCTGGGTACTCCTGGGGCAATTTCTTTATCAGCCTCATTCAGCAAAGGCACCTAGGGTAGAGACATGTGCAGAGCTGCTCTGCATGTGTGCCATGCTCCACTGCCAGCTAACAATGGTATTTTAACTACAAACAATCACCATCTCTGTCACACTGCACCCACAGGCTACATCCCCAGCTGTTATAAATCAATGCAAACACATGGATTTTTTCTTAAGGGCCAGGGGGACGTTTAGGTCATCTAAACTTTTTTGTAAAGCAAGCTGCAGAATTAAATCCATCTACTTTAATGTGGAGCCTTATTACATATGCTGGACAGACATCATGTCACTCACTTCAGGGGTGCTACACCAGCTTATAAAGAGTGAAACGGTGCTCTGTAACCTGCAACAGCTTGAATCTGCTTCCTAGCACTCCTCTGCAGACTCAGTGCAGCAAAGTCTCATCCCTGTAGACGCAGGGAAGAGGCAACAGCCAGCAGCAATTCAGTGACCCAGGGCAGAGTGATTGCTGCAGCAGCACATCTGCAGCGCATCATCTGCCGGTGCCTTCGCACACCGATGCAAAGCAGAGCGCTTCAGACACATACAAGATGCTTTAGTCACATAAGCAACCAGAAAACAGAGGTTTGGAAATCAAACCAGTGCATCCCGAAGGGGTGAAAGCTGATAAATATGTAAGTTGCATTCTCCCACTTGCCCCGAGGCAACTGGGTTTTGTTACCTGTTTTGGGATTGATTACAAAGAAGTTCTGGGGATTTCCACTTGTAATCCGGTAAGTCAGTTTTTCATTAGTGCTGGAGTCAGGGTCCTGGGCTTGGATCTGAATGACAGATACATCCTTTGGGGAGTTCTCCATGACAACTGGGTAATAGATAGGCTCAGAGGTGAGAGGGGCATTGTCATTCATGTCCTCCACTTCAATGTAGACTTCGATGGTAGTGTAGAGTGGGACAACGCCATGATCAGTCGCATACACCGTCAACCAGTAGGATTTGGTTGTCTCCCGGTCAAGAATATCTGCTGTGTAGATAACCCCTGCAGAAAAACAGCAAGCAGAGGATGTCATGAATAGGATCAATAAAACATCACATCTATTTTCATTTGGCTGTACTACACAAATGTGTTCTGCATGTAACAAAGGCTCCACCCATAGAAAGATTCAAGTTGTGCAACAAATGAAAACAGAAGCCTGAGTTCAGGAATTGTTTTGTGAACTCAGCTCAATATCTCAATCCTTTGTCCCAATAAATTGAGTGGGAGGGAAGGTAAAAGGATGGCTCTTCATAAATGCCCTAATGCCACAGCCATTTCTTTGCTAGAACTGCAGCTGGCAGAGTAACAGAAGAAACACCATCATTTTCTGCTTTGTGATGCAAACCTGTATAAACCTTGGTAGGGAGGGATACAACCACTGACAATGAATTACACAAAAGAAATGGCTTTTCTTTTCTGGTTCCTGCCTGTGTCCTTGCTAAAGAAGAAAACCTAGGAGGCAATTTAAAATGAATCCATCCAAGTTCAGAAAATAGACCGTAAATTTAAAATTGAGCTCACTCATTGCACGGTGTAATCCTGGATAACAAGCAATCAAAAGCTCATACAGTAGCCCTTAGAGAACGAATATATCCTCTTTTATCACAGAGAAAGGCTTGGCCACTTTACCTACTGGTGTAAGAAAACATCAGTTGGTTTTCCACCTTGTCCTAAGAAACAAAAGAGAAAGCCTGTCTGTGTATTTCAGAGCCACAGAAAGGGATAAAAGTACCAGCCCTGTGCCAGAACAGTCCTGCCATGAAGAGCTTCCACCCATCTCATTTCTCCCTGAAGAGCTTTAGAAAGCCATCCTCCTCAAGAACATCTGGTTTGCATCTGGTTGGAACCAGATGACCTTTCAGGTCCCTTCTAAACCAAAACATACTGTGATTCTATGATAAAGCAGAAACTCTACCACTCTAAGACTTGCTTGTACTGGCACAGTCCAAACCTTCACTGGCTTAAGTGAAGCTTCACTTAAACTTCACTGGCTTAAGACCATGAGTGCACGCAGGACCAAATACACCAGCACCACACACAAAATCACACCAGCATCAAAATAAGCAAATGCACTTCCTCACCACTTCTATGGCACATGTATCAAGAACATTTTCATCTCCTAATATAGCACTGTTAAATCTCGAGAGACACACTAATGCAGTGGATCTCAAGCTTAAGAAATACTCAAAAGGACAGCTTGCAAACCATCAAATCATTAGTTGATAGAAAATGACAGAGAAATTGCAGGGCAAAACAGGAACACAAGAAACCTAAATTTAGTCTCAGATGTGTTTGATGCTATTTAGAACAAAATTATCAGTTAATCACTGAGGACAGAGCTGCTGTAAGGCCAGCACTAATAAAAGATATGTGTGTCTTTTTGGCTTTGGGGTTTTTTTTAAGGATCCAATTGCACTGCTTCCATGACAGCTTGAAGTCTTAAAAGTTTTCAAGGTAACAGAGAACCCAGCCACACAGTCACAGAGATGCCACATGTATCACATGTATTTGCTCTTGTCTTATAAGATACTTTTTTTTTTTAATACTACAATTATTTTTTTCAAGTTTCGGATTTTTTAAAATTTTTTTCTGTTATGTCTTTTAATACTAGTTTGAACTGACAAGTATACTCCTAACATTTGATCAGCCATGTAAGAGAGAAAGGGGAAAGGAGCAGCACTGATTCTGGTCATGTACAGGCACAGGTCGTTTTGTAGTAACCTCAGATCCATGTCCTTCTCGCTCAGATGTATTATTCACCCATTGCAGGTGAGCAGGGTAGCACTGGAGGACAAAGGAAAAGTGTATTCTAAATATTCCTGCTGGCAGAAGCCTGTGCTATGTAATGAGTTTCTGTAGAAACATGGGTGAAATATATGGTGAACTGTGATGAAAAAAGCTTGCAAGTCCAGAAGAGAAATTACACTGCAGGGATGAGAAGAGCCAATAACAACCCATAGAAATAAATAAATAAAATAAATCCACATAGGAAAGAATGAGGAAAAAAAGATGAATATTAGTGATACTAGAAATTATGATTTATTCAGAAGACAAGAATAATTATTTTACATCTTTATTTGAAATAAATAGGGTTCTCCCCCAGTGAGAGCACAGAAGGTTTTAGCAGATTAACCTATGTTTATGAAGCTGAATTTCACCGATACTGAGGTGATAATAAATCTATCATCTGAGTCATTCCTTCATTTTATAACTCCTGGCAACAGTTACTTTTCATTTCTGTATTTCAGAAGGGAAGGCTCTTTGAACAAGCATTAGCTACCACCAACAGGTCTGCTACACTGGTTCTTATTTTTACTTTTGATTTATTAAAAGGTCCCAGATACAAATAATTCCTTTTCCTAAATAAGTCTTGTCCTTTCACCTGTCAACACCACACAGCAGCTTAATAAGTAAGAAGGCTTTTGTTCACTTTCAGGTTTTCCACATGGAAATTCTTCCATCATCCTGGGAATACCTTCTGCCATGCTCTTGAATGTTCTGCACAAAATGCCCCCTCTCTTTATATGGATATAAAGGTAGTACCCACAAGAATACACAAGCTGCCCAAATATTTAAAGGATCACTCCACACAGGTGTGGATGACATCCTTCCAGAGGGATGTCAAATGCCAGCTTCATATGAGGTCTTAACTCCTGAGGCTAATGATGATATCTGGTCACCAACACTGCTTCTTCACCATTATGGCATGAATGCAAAGAAGCTGACAGATCTGACATCAGGAGCTGCAACATATTCCCTGGGCAGTCCACAGATAGGCTCTCACTCACTTTAGCTGAGACAAAGGAGGGGAATATCCTTGGATAAAATCAGAATAAATTCAGAAAACACATCACTTACTTAAAAGCTCTTAGATATTAACAGATACTACAGAAAGACAGAATTTGGTTTTCAAGACCAGGAGAGCAGAAGGGAGGAGAGGTCTTTGGGAGCAGCTCTAAAGGCTTTCCTTGGATGGATTTTGTGGTGTACTCTTTCCAGCTGCTTGACAATTAAAAGAGAAACGTGAACAATGTAATGATGCCTGAACCAAACAAATCAAGAAGAAACACCAGCAGAAATAATGAAAATTTCAAAGGGACTAAAACCCAAACAGTTCTAAGATTTTGCAGACACATTTCTGAACAAGACTGATAAAACAGATGTTCTTATCCACTGGGATGCTACACTGTGGAGGCACTACTGCGTTTTTACATGAGACAGCTGAAATCCAACCACACATCTGTGAGCCAGCTCTTTATGTCACCCTTGGCTGGATTTTGCAGTTATCCCTGAAGGCCTGGAGCCAGCACTACCTGAGGCCCAGGGCAGCCTCAGAAATAAAGCCAGCCAACAGTCCAAAAAGCACTGCCACTGATATGCTTGCCACTGCATTCCTCCAAGTACATGTGCCCCACGCAATTTGCCAAACACCACATGCATTACAAACACTGTAAGTGAAAAATAACAACAGAGCGCATTAGTTGCTGATTAAAATCCTCAGCACATTTATATGTAAATTAAGTGCAGCCCTTAGGCTCGGCAATGTGCCAGCAATGCGAAGGTTGTGTGCTTGTTTCTCCTTAAGGCTTGTTTCCCCTCTTTCCCTGAGAAAATAATGGGATAATGTTTTCTGTATGGCTCTTGCAATTGGACACAATGAGACACAGCATTATGAAGGACGAAGGTTAAAAAAAAAATAAAACAAAACAAAACAAAACAAAAAAACTATTGAAGTGGATGAAGAATCAGCAAACTGGACTTCCCTGTTTCCTCTCCCACTGATTTGCTGTGTATCTGTCACTAGACCACTTCAAATGATGTGGTCCATCCAAAAAATATCTAAAAGTCATGTATTTACTATCATGATAAGAAACCCAAGAGGGTCTTAAAACAAAAAGGGATTAAAGGAAAGCATTATTTCTTTCATCACCTCTTTTTTGCCCCCTGTTTGTTTACTTTACATATTTGACAGTACTGTGTATATAGGTAGTGTGATGGATGGACCTGCCACAGCTCTTTAAGAGAATGTTTACTGGAGCTGTCAGCCTGGCTGTTTACATAGGTGCCCATCACCATGGATATCTGCTACACACATACGTTCCTCTTAAAAGTCAGATCATCCTTCATGAATACCCTCAATAGCACAAACATTGAAAGAAGTTCAATTCTATTTAGTTTTTTTCAAAGCAAGATTAAAAGACAACTTGGTGGTCTGTAAGAAGCTGTGCATGGAAAAGTCAAAAGAGAGTAACAAGGCTCTTTAATCTAGCTGAGAAAAGCAAACTGAGGTCTGATGGCTGGAAGTCAGTGGCAGAAAAAGTAGAGTGCAAATATTAAACAAGGAGGATATCTGGCAGGAGTAATTGCTTGTCAGGGACAGGCCAGCATCTCCCATCATTTGGCACCTTGGTACTGAGACAAGACAATAGAACCTATTTTTCTACCCAAATTATTGGCTTAGCTGCAGAAACTAACACAGAACGTGATTTTGCTGAGTGACTCAGTAGCCCATGTTATAAAACTTGCCAGTAGAAGTAGCCATACCCTCAGTAAATGATGCACAAAATACGGGGAAAGAAGACTGACCAGGAAGTATCTGCTACTCTTCCAAAAAGTCTCACACAGAAATACCACATAAAAATACTTAGTTCTCACCTTTTCAAAATTGTTTTCAAAATACTGCAGTGGTTTTGCAGGGGGACATATTGCATCAGCTGTCAACTGAGAAGAGTCTCAGTGACAAAAGATGTTGCTTATTCTCCTCAAACCTTTCCAGGAGTATGAGCTAACTGCACAAATGTGCACCTCAGACTGGGAAATGAAGGAAGGTTAGAGAAGCTGAATGGCCCACTTATTTCCAGGAGTGGCCATAGAGGTGGGCAGGAGAAGTGGGAGGCAGCAAAGGCAGAACATGCCCTCATCACAAGCTACAGCACAGGATGGAAGTAAAATTCCAGTAACACACTCCCAGGTACTCCCAGCTGCCAGAGTGCAACGTGCCCAAAGCCAGTCCCTTGTTAGTGCAAATGCAAGGTTTAGTGGTTAAAACCACTATAAAAATGTATAAACCTCAGGGTGACTGAAGGACTGAGGGTAACACATGCACCTTCCTGACTCCAGAGCCCAGGACACTAGCAAACTCATTCAATATATCCAAGGGCCACGTCAGCTTCTGCCACAAAATGCTAGAAAAACACATTTCCAGAGTCCACATCTGCCTCTCCCTCCTCCAGCTTCCCAACAAAGGGGCTCAGCGCAGGCCAGCTACAAAGCAGAAGCTGGTTTGTCCCTAAACTAAAATGACAGAAATGAGGCCGTCAGGAATGCCAGCTAACAGTGAAGTACTCAGGGCTGTTACATTCCTCAAAGGAAGAAACAGAAAAATCACTGATTCCAAAATGCTACTAATTATTCATGATCCTTTATCAAAGACTCTCTTGAGTCTCCTGGCAGTAAACACAACACCTTGGCTGTCACCAAGCTGTCAGCCAAAGGTCCTCCTTTACATTGCCTTGCTGGGAAAAA